CCAGGGAAGCTCTGCCAACGCGCGGGGGGCCAGGGGAGCTGGTGCCCCTCCAGCCTTCCTCCCCCTCGTCCCCCCGGCCTCCCCTCCTTCCCTGCCTGGGCATGGCTCTCCCTCCTCCCCCAGCCCCTGGCGTCACCGTCACCGCTTCGAGTAAGAGCGGAGACATCCTTCGCCCAAGCCCAGTCCTCACCGGAGCCCTCCGCGGCACAGCATCCCAACCCCGGCACGGCAGAGGGAACGGGGGGCTTCGGGGACCCCCCCTTGCTCTCCCTGCAGCAGGTAAGGGGGTGCGCTGGGTCCAGGCTGGGTGGGAAGGAGAGAAGCTCTTTTTCCCTGCAAATATCCATGACTAAAGGCTGTTTGCGGAGTGCTGAGGACGATCAGGGAGCGATGGGGAGGAAGCAGCAGCAGGGAAAGTTTCCCAGCTCTGCCTGAAGTTCACATCTAAAACCCCCAGACCCCTTGCTGTCCGCCTTTAAAATCCAATAAATAAGTTATTTATTCTCGCTGCATCCCTGACTGCACGCCGGGATGCTGAGCTTCGCCGGGCTCACCGCGGCCACGGGCATCCTCCGGTCCAGCCTTTAGCATCCGCGCTTTCCCTCCGGGAAAGTGTTCGGCAAGTACCGGCGTTTTGCAGGCACGTAGCCGCCTCCCGGGGCATCTCTGCTGCTTCAAACCGAGCGCTTTGTGTCCCGGAGCGATGGGAAATCCATCGGGGCAGTGATTTGGATGCAGGGAGATGAGGCAGGGCTGTAGGTAAAGGTCAGGCAGGAGGGCAGGGCTGCCCGCCCCGCTGCCAGGCTGGGCCCGAGCTGCCCGGTGCTGCCGGAGGAGCACGGAGGAGGGCGAAGCAGCGATGGGAGGGAAGGGGGATGCGGGTGCAAGGGGGTGGTGGGGTGCCGCGGCACCCTGGGGTGGCCGGTGGCCTCCCACCCATGCAGCCCCCTTCCCACTCACCTGCCCATCCCCACCCACGGGTGCATGTCCCCTCTCCACCCGTGTCCCCCTCAGACCCCCTTGGCCACGTACAGACAGTTTCAGGCACAGCTTTGCAGCACCCAGGGCACCTCCTTCCCCCTTCGATATCTACCAGAGCTCTGGGGGACCCATGACATCCCCACTCGTGTGATGGGGATGGGATAACCAAGCCCGCAGCAGGAGCAGCTCCCCCAGTACCCCCATACTCTCCAGTACATGGAGATATCTCAGCCAGGAGAGACCCATCCATAATTTTCTTTTCAGCTCAGCGCAGTGGCTGGTGTTTCTCCTCCCATTTCCCACCCCCTCCACCATCCATGTATTAATCAGTTGAAAACTGCGCAGAAGATGATGATGATGATGAGTTCAGGAGGGCTTCGTGGTTTTACCAGGCCAGCGAGGAATTTAAGCCAAAGTAGCTTCTTGTTTAGCAACATCAGTGCTGGGCTGGGAACCTTCTTCTCTTTGGGGATGAAAGCATTTGCCTCCTGGAGAGGGGAGGCTGCTCCTGGGGGCACGGGTCAAGCGTGGAGGAGTCACCTTGTAAGGACGAGCAGGTTTCGGGGCCTCTGCAGAGCAAGTGATTTCTCCCCTTGCAGAGATTTCCTTTGCTGGGGAGGGGAACCAACCACATCCATGGATGGAGGGATGGATGCCTAGGTAGAGGGATGCATGCATGGATGGATGGATGGATGAAGGGATGGATGGATGGATGGATGGATGGATGGATGGATGATGGATGGATGAGGGTGGATGGTGAAAGGATGATCCCTCATTTCAGGAGCGCTCCTGGAGAAACCAGCCCCGGGAGCCTGTTCGGGGCAGCGCAGTCTCTTGGAGCAGCTGAGATGCTTCCCCCTCCCTCGCTCTCAGGTCCCAAACCAGCTTTGAGTCGGGCAGGGCAGAAGGATGGTTGAAACCGGTTACTTTCTGGTCACCCCAGTAAGGTCTGGAGCACTGGGCTCCATCTCTGCTATTAAATCACCCAGGAGCAGACCCGGGCTCCCCATTGCTTTAACTCACGGTCTGGCTGCCAGGCCGCGACCGACGCTGCCCGGATTCGCACCCTGCCCACCCGAGGAGCACTCGTGAAACATTTTTGGGGACATTTTTCCCTTGACTCTGCCATGGTGGCAGCTCGGGTCAGCTCCAAGCCCTGCTCGTGGCTGGGAGCGGCTTTGAGGGGACCACAGTGGGACTGTCACCTCCCAGACCCACGCTGTGGTGGCATTGCGGTGACAGTGCCGCTCTCTGCTGTCTTTCCAGGAATGAAATTTGGGGCAGGCAGCTCAGCAGAGCGTCCCAGGCCACGCACCCACCCTAGCCTTGCTGTGTCCTTGCTGAGGCTCTCCCAGCCCACCTCCAGCTCCATCCATGGCTCCTCCAGCACTCGCTAATGGCGGGGACACGCAGGACACCCCGTCGGAGGTCCCCTATGGTGGCTTTCCCTGCTGAGCCTCCTCTCCCACTACCACCTCAGCTCATCGCTCCCCCTGGTCCCTCCTGGAGGGCTTTGCAAGCTGCTCCAGGGAGGGGGTCCACGGGGGACACTAGCACAAGGAGGATGGGGCGGCTGTCCCATGGCATCATCCCTGTCATCGCGTGGTGCTTCGTCACCTTCCAGGCGGGTAAGGGCGGCTCTGGCTTTCCCTGGGGTACCTGAATTTCCTTCGCTTGAGCCCTGCCTTCCTATGGGTGTCACCCCGGGGGGGGGTAAATTTGGGGAGAGGGGAAGCCAAGGGGGCTGTGGTGCATGCGCGTGGAAAACCAGTTCTCTCCCAGTTTACCCCCATGCAGTCTCTCCGCACTCCCAGTCTCCACGCTGGCATGGTGCCCTCCACCACGTGCCGTGCAAGGAGGGGGTTCGTGTCTTTGCAGAGCAGCTTGACACCACCCAGACGCTTGGGTGGGGACGGTCTGCTCTGGGCCATCCCCCACAGGGGATGGACCTCTGGGACCCCAGATCCATCCTATGCGAGCTAGAAATGTTGGAGGGACAGAAAAAAAATGGATTTTGCTTCCACCCCCTGTCAACACAAGTCCTCCCAGGAGCTGGGCATCTTGCTTGTCCCTTCACTTGCGACCAGCCCTCCCCAACACCTCTAAGACCCTCGAAGCTGCTCAGCACATCGTCCCCGGCCAAAGTACAACCGGGGCCCCTTGCTGGGCTTGCCTGCGCAGCAGGGAGAGCTTGCACGGGGCACGGGGCATGCTACGGGGCCGTACACCCATCCTTCTTCAGGGCAGAGCCACCCTTAAGACACCTCTTCGGTTGCACGTCACTGTGCAAAGCCCTCCCTCCCTCCACCCCTCAACTTGCTCGAAATTTATGGGGCTCTGCAGCGAGCAAGGACGGCTGAGCGATGCGTCGCAAGCTGACGGCACCAAAGACCAACGCCAACAATTTCTAGGCAGAGCAAAGAGCGTTGCGTTCCTTCCCAGCCCCGTCTCCAGCCCAGCCTGAGGGATGGTCTCTGGGCAGGCTGCAGCAGTCCCAAGGACTGGGTTAGCCTCCACCTTGCAAAGCTGAACCCGTTAGCACCAGTAAGAGCAGCTGGAGGGGACTGGGAGAGGGACCTCAGCCACCCAAGAGCGGGATTTTCTCAGCCAGCATTGCAAGGTTGACCTTGCACCGCTCTCCGCTCCCTGGGGCAGTTTTGAAGGAACTAATTCCCCTCTCCCCATCCCAGGGTGGGGTTTAGCATCCCTGCCTGCTGCAGCAGAGAGGGGGCTTGCCCCGGATGGGCACCCCATTTCAGCGGGGTGCAGGGCTGTGGAAGGGGAGGTCAGCGAGCTCTCCCTCACCCCGGCCCCATCTCTGTCTCCCCGCAGCCGCCTGCCTGCGGGAGCAGCCCGGCAGCCACGCCGAGGAGCGTCTCTTCAAGCACCTCTTCACCGGCTACAACCGCTGGTCACGGCCAGTGCCCAACACCTCCGACGTGGTCATCGTGAGGTTCGGGCTCTCCATCGCGCAGCTGATCGACGTGGTGCGTAGCCCACCGGCAGGGACCCCGGTCCCATGTGGTGTCTGACTTTTCACCAGTTGGTCTTACTGGTCTGCCAGACCAGAGCCTGGGAACACTGGTGCGAGGTTGGGTTTTGGGTAGCAACAACCCCCTGGCCATCTCCAGCGAGTGACAAACCACCCACCCTGCCTCCCTCAGACCTCCAACGAGCAGGGGCGTCTGCACCCCTCCTCTCCATCCCAAACCCTCCCTTCCCCTGGCAGCAGGAGAGCATCCAGGGAAACTGCAGTTCTCCATCCCTGCCATGTCCTTATCCACCATCTACCTGCCCCGGGGCACCTCTGGGCTTTGCTGTCTGTCCGTCCCTTGCTTATTCCTCCCATGGACACCCATCTATCCACCCATCCAACTATCTACCTATCCATCTGTCCACCCATCTACCTATCCATCTGTCCACCTGTGCACCTATGCATCTGGATGCCTATCCATCTGTCCATCTGTCCATCTGTCCATCTATCCATCTGTCCATCTATCCATCCTTCCATCCACAGGACTATCCATTTGTCCGTCCATCGGAGCGGCTCAGAGCTGTGCGCTGCAATATGCTATTTCTTGCTGCCATCTAGTGAGCAGATATCTCAAGGAAATGCAGTCTTGGACTTGTACTGGTACCAGTTGCTTCCAGGAGCTGAACCCCAGATGTGGCAGGCAGAAAGTGAAAGCAGTGATTTGGGGGACGATGCAGTGATGGGACAAGCCCTGTCTCCGTCTCCTCTCACCTCTCCCTCTTTCCCACCACAGGATGAGAAGAACCAGATGATGACCACGAACGTCTGGCTGAAGCAGGTAGGAGCCTGTTCCCTCTCTGGGGCAAGGGCAGGAGCGTGTCAAGGAGGGCACAGCATTTGGGGCAGAGAGACCCTGCCCAGGGGGGCTTGGTGGCATCTCCATGGTGCTGTTCCTCTGGGGGATGCTGCCAGAGGAGGAGGAGGCATTGGGCAGCTTGGTCCCACCAGACCCAGGGCCACCTGATGCCCTTCCCTCCATGTCTCCCTCCAGGAGTGGAGCGACTACAAGCTGCGCTGGGACCCGGCGGAATTCGACAACGTCACCTCCATCCGGGTGCCTTCCGAGATGATCTGGATCCCCGACATCGTGCTCTACAACAAGTGAGTGACACTGCCGAGATGGGGCATCCCTAGGGCCAGCTCCCCCATCCCATCCCATCCCATCCCATCCCATCCCATCCCATCCCATCCCATCCCATCCCTGCAGCTCATCCCATCTCATCCCATCACATCCCATTCCAGTAGCTCCCTGGTGCTGCCAGCCCCCATGGGCCTCCTGCCCCGCATCCCACCCCAGTGGTAAGGATGCAAATCAGTCTTCATCCATCTCTCCATGTCCTCATCCTCCCACCCATCTCCATGCTCTGGGTGATGCCCAAGAAGGTGAACCCAGCACCATGTAGGGATGCACGATGGAGCCACATCCTCAAATCAAGGCTCGTACCAGCCCTGAGAGCTGAGGGAGCTCCTGGCCCTGTTTCTTGGGGCAAACGCTTCGTCCTCCTCTGGCCTTCACATCTCTCCATCCCTGCAGCGCTGACGGGGAGTTCGCCGTGACCCACATGACGAAGGCCCACCTCTTCTCCAATGGGAAGGTGAAGTGGGTGCCACCCGCCATCTACAAGAGCTCGTGCAGCATTGACGTCACCTTCTTCCCCTTCGACCAGCAGAACTGTAAGATGAAGTTCGGCTCCTGGACCTACGACAAGGCCAAGATTGACCTGGAGAACATGGAGCACCATGTTGATCTCAAGGATTACTGGGAGAGCGGCGAGTGGGCCATCATAAATGCCATTGGCACCTATAACTCCAAGAAGTATGACTGCTGCACCGAGATCTACCCCGACATCACCTTCTGCTTCATCATCCGCCGCCTCCCGCTCTTCTACACCATCAATCTCATCATACCCTGCCTGCTTATCTCCTGCCTGACTGTGCTGGTCTTCTACCTGCCCTCCGACTGCGGGGAGAAGATCACCCTCTGCATCTCCGTCCTGCTGTCCCTCACCGTCTTCCTACTGCTCATCACAGAAATCATCCCGTCCACCTCGCTGGTCATCCCTCTCATCGGCGAGTACCTCCTCTTCACCATGATCTTCGTCACACTCTCCATCATCATCACCGTGTTCGTCCTCAACGTCCACCACCGCTCCCCCAGCACCCACACGATGCCCTGCTGGGTGCGCAGCTTCTTCCTTGACTTCATCCCTCGCTGGCTCTTCATGAAGCGACCCCCGGCCCTGCCTCCCCCCGAGGGGACCGCGGGACAGTACGACCTCCCGGGGACGAGGCTCAGCACCTCCCGGTGCTGGCTGGAGACCGATGTGGATGACAAGTGGGAGGAAGAAGAGGAGGAGGAGGAAGAGGAGGAGGAAGAGGAGGAGAAGACCTACCCCAGCCGCATATCCCAGGCGGGGTCCCACAGCCAGGGTGCCCAGTGCCGCTATGGCTGCGGGCGCCAAGCTGGGAAGGCGTCAGGGGGCTCAGCCCCCCGGGGGCCCCCCAAGGGGGAGGAGGAGGAGGTGGGCTCAGACCAGGGGCAGACGCTGTCCCCCAGCATCCTGAAGGCCCTGGAAGGGGTGCAGTACATCGCGGACCACCTGCGAGCCGAGGATGCCGACTTCTCGGTGAGTGGGTGCCTCTGAGGGCCGGGGGGTGAGGAGGGGGTCCCCCACTTGTACCTCCATGGGGAGGTCCATGCTGTCAGCCCTGGTGGGTTCCCTGGCTGCTGAGGACCCAAAACCAGGGAGAAGATCAACGACCACCTCCTGGGAGATGTCCGGTCCATGGGGTCAGTTGAGGCCATGGGATCAGTTGAGGCCAGCTTCCGTCCCTGCTGGCTGCGGGGGCGTTGGAGGTCCCTCTCCTGCCCACACTGTCCTGCTCTCAGAGAGCAGCGAGGGACCCGGCTCAGCGGCTGCACCCCTACTTTTAGCCAAGTGGCTTCAGAAAACCCTGGGTGGGATCAGCTCTGCCCCGAGCAACCTCCCCGGAGAGGTCCATACCCCAGCCCTGCTGCTCCAGGGATTTCCCGAGACACGGGGTATCTCCTCGTCCTGAGGCCAATGGCAGATGCAGAGGAAGCCCTGGGTGGTCTCCTAACTGCAAAGGGTCCTCACAAACGGGGGGGCTGCATCCTCTGCCCGCCCTCACAGCCCCTCTCCGCTCGGCAGGTGAAGGAGGACTGGAAGTACGTGGCCATGGTGATCGACCGCATCTTCCTCTGGATGTTCATCATCGTCTGCCTGCTGGGCACCGTGGGGCTCTTCCTCCCACCCTACCTGGCGGGGATGATCTAGGGGCCGGGCCAGGCTGCGGTGGGGATGGCGGGCAATGCACGTTCCCTTCTCCCGGGGAGCGGGCATGGTGGTGCCCACATCCAGCCGGACCCTCGCCTCTCCCTGGGAGGACATGGTTGCAACCATGGAGGACCCTCCGATGGGAAATGCAGGGTGAAGCAAGAGCTGTGCCAAGGGGTGACCTGGGGATGGTGGGGAGGGACGGCTGCCTGCCATCCTGCCCGGGGCAGTTGCAGCCATCCCGGCATCGAGGAAGGCACGGTACAGCTTCTCCATTGCTTGAGCGCAGGCTGGAGGCATCTAGGAGAGGCATCTGCTTCCTCGAGCTGCTGCAAGTCCTACCCGAAACCCAAGAGCTGCGTCTGGGTGTGACTCCAACGTGCTGGGCAAGAAGAGGGGACCTCACAGCTGCTTTAGGATTACAGGCTGGTGTGGTCATGCATGACATGGGGGAGGCAATAACGCTTCAGATGATCGATGCAGAAGGGGTACAGGCGTGGGATGGAGGTCCCTGCTCAGCCGCACGGCTTGGGGGTCTCTGCTCTGCAAAGCCCAGCCCAGGCGCAGACCCTCTGCAACCCGCCGGCACGAGCAGTCACTTCCACACCATCCCACACTGGAGCTCGGAGCAGCAGGGAGACGGGAGCAGCCAAACCAGAAATGCGGGTGGCTTGGAAGGGAAAACCCACCCTGTAGAATGGGATAACCGACCCAGCCACGGCCAGACGGTGCCCACGGACCCCAGGAGCTCAGGGGTGCTGCCCCACGCTGGACTTGGCTGGTGTGGGGGGAAGCTGCACTGGCAAGGTCCATCTTCAGCAAATCCTCCTCTCCATCCCACGTCAGATCCCAAACCATCTGGCTCTGATGACTGCTGCAATCCAGCTCTTAATTTCTAGCTGCCGTATACCCTAAAGGGCCCATGCTTACAGAGAAAAGAAGAAGATGCTCTCTTCTTCCATGCTCTGAGAGACACCAGGTTTTTCCTGCAACGTTTTCTCCTCCTGGGGACCGACCCATGGTGGTGCTGGGTGCAGTCTGAGGGGTTTCAGAAAACACTTTGTGCTTTCAGGAGTGAAACGGGCCAGAAGAAACGGTGCCACGGAGGGATGTGCACATCCCGAGGGTGTTGCCTGGCTTATGAGGCCACCAGGGCACAAGCTCTGGGGTGACCCCCCCCAGTGTGGCACTAGACCCCCAAGCATCCTTTTTGTGGGGTGGGAACCCATATTCATGGCTGCGCTAGCACGCACAAACCACTTCCCGACAGCCTCCACCATGAATTCCCTGTGATTTTCCTTCTGAAAAGCAAGGGTCTGGAGATACTCTTACTAGCAAGCCTCAGGGTGGGAGAAGGGGGAGTCCAGGCCCCTCACCTGGATCGTGGGCTCAACGGGAGGGAAACGGGGCTCCAGCGAGGACGTGGATGCAGCAGACCCAGGTTGACCCCAGCAGCTCCCCCGGCGATGCTGCCACCGGGATGGCGCTTCCCCACGCCGGCAAGATGGCTCAGAGCAGCACGACCCTTACTCTTTCTAAGGCGACGCTGGTGACCAGGGGACTTGTCCCCATGGTATGGGGGTGACAGGCAAGCACAGGCACAGCGGGACTTTGTGCATGGTTTATCTCAGCCAGAATGAACAGCATTGTGGGAAGATGCTGGGGAAAAGCCCGAACCGTACGGTTTCCAACTCAAAGCACAAACCGAACAGAGACTTGGTTTGCCGTCGTCGCTTACACAGAGCAGCTCGGAGAAAACTCAGCTGGAAGAGGCACCGTTCTCCTGGTTTGTGTCACCAAAGGCTGCGGTCCGTGGGGTCCCATCCCTCCCCGTGCTCTGCAGGCTTGGGGCCAGGCACGCTCCGGCCACGGGCGCCAGAATCGGCTCCACTGCGGCGCATGGACCTGCCTCCCATCATTAAATAAAGTCTTCTGTACAATGTACAAGGAAACGCAACCAGTCCCTCCGGCCACCGCTCCGATGGCCCCTGGGGACCCCCGCGCGGCCCCCCGGGATGCCAGCTCCCCCAGCCGCTGTGCCCTCCGGCTCCCGGTGGCGAGGAGTGGGGTCCAGGTCCCCGTCGCGACATGCCGCCTGCGGCCATCCGTCCTCGGAGGGGCCAAGGGATGGACACGCAGACCTGCTGGGGAGCAGGGACCTGCCAAGCCAGAGGGATCTTCAGCTGCCCTCGGGAATGGCCAGGTCCTCCCCAGCCCTTTCCAGGGACAAGTCACTTGATGCCTCCCTTCTTCAGAAGACCGACAAGACGATGCTAAAGACACGAGTGGCTGCAGGAGGGGGGACAGGGAGGGCAGGACGGCGAGGCCACGGGAGACACACAAAAGCCAGCTCCTCCGCAACGCTCTTCTCCCATCTCCGCCGCCAGACGCACGGCGGTCCCTTTCCTCCTCTCCTTCCCCACCCCTTCTTCTTCCCTCTCTCCGCCCCTGCCCTCACTCCACGGACAGCTTCACGAGGTTGGCCTGGACCTTGGCTTGGTCCACGGCATCCAGGAGGTTCTTGGCATCCACGGCCAGGGTGTGGGAGGCCATCAGCATCTGCCGCTTGCACTCTTCGCTCAGCGAGGTGACGGCGTTCTGCTGCGCCAGGCGCATCTTGTTGATGAGGTCGGCCAAGTCCTTGTTGAGCAGCTTCTGGGTCCCCTCGATCTGACCATGACACGTCGGGGTTACAGACAGGGGTGCCACCAGCACCCAAGCCCACGCCAGACCCCTCTCCCTCCTCCCCAGTCCTACCTCGGTGCGGGAGGCGGCGGGCAGGACGGGCAGGATCTCATCGACGCTGCCGATCAGCTTCCGCAGGGACAGGCCCACGTTCTGCGGGGAGGGCGGCAGGGTTAGGGTGACTCCAGGCATGAGCACGGGGAAGTGGTGCATGGGAATAGCCTGTGCTGCTGAGCCAAGGATCCCATTCGGGAGAGGGGCATAGTGGCATAGTGGGAGACTCTCCCACTGTTGACCTAAGGACTCAATGGAGGAGCAGGGGGTGCTGCAAATGCTCCCATCGTTGACCCAAGGACCCAACGGAGGAGCAGGGCATGCTGGAAATGCTCCCATTGTTGACCCAAGGACCCAACGGAGGAGCAGGGAGTGCTGGAAATGCTCCCACCATTGACCCAAGGACCCAATGGAGGAGCAGGACATGTTGGAAGCTCTCCCACCATTGACCCAAGGATCCAAAGGAGGAGCTGGGAATGTTGTAAATGCTCCCTTCTACATGTGCAAGACCTTCCTGAGAAGGATGCTTGGTGGGAGTCGCTCAGCAGACTCATTCCCAACTCCCTCCCCTATTCCCCTGGCGTGGCCTCCTCCCTGCCCTCCCTACCTTCACCATGAGGATGTACCCCTCCGGGGGCAGGAGGCTGATCTCATTCTTCAGCTGCAGCACGGCCCGCACCAGGTCCATGACGTTGCTGTACACCATGTCATCTGTGCGGTCCAGGTTGGCGGTGGGGGCCGGGTGGATGGACTGCTGAGGAACGGGGACACAGTGGGATCAGATGGGCCGAGGGAGCAAGGAGGGAAAGACCAACACCTATGGGGAGCCCTGGCCAGACCCATCCACCTCCCACCCATGACCCCGGTGCTGCTGGGTCTGTCTGACCCCTTTGGGGACTGGGGGAGTCAGAAAAGTCCCATCCTGCAGATGCAGAGGGATGATGGAGGTGGGGGAGGAGGACAGGGACCGTGGTGGCCCCGTCCAGGGAGGTCTTACCTGCGCCCCAAGTCTTGGAGGCTTCTGGGGGGGCCCTGTGAACTCCGCTACGCCATCAGTAAGGGAAAGGAAGGAGAGTCACTCTGGCTGTTCCCCTGGACACACGGGCACTTTGCAAGACCCCAGGGACCCGTGCCACCTCCCGCACCTCCCTGGAGCAGCGTGTCCCACTGTGGCTGGACACCCTGACCCACCCCAGCTGTGCCACCTCACCGCAGGGTCAGAACCCCCTGGACCCCCATGCCCGGGACAGGCGGACCCCCCTCCCTGGGGCAGGCAAAGCTGCTGCCCATCATCTGGGATTTCTTTCATGGAGGATCCCAAAGCCAGGAGGGATACGGCACCGAGGCTCCTCGCAGCTCAGCGCAGGGATCCCCACTTGCAGCCCCAAAGCGGGTGCTCGCGGGTGGGGCGCCACAGGCAGCCCCGCACCCTGTGCAGATGTGGGCACTCACTGTAATCCGTCTCCTTCTCTGGGAGCAGCTGTGGGGGGAAGAAACAGCAAATGAGAGGCACAAAGTCCTGGCTGGAGGCGGCGAAGAGGGAGGAGGCATCGCCATCCCCTCCCAGGGCTTCTGCTGGGGAGCTCCGGACCACCGGGATTTCACCCCATTAACATTTGCAGATTAATTTTCCCTATGCGAGGGGCACATATATAAATATCTATCGCCTGTCAATGCCAAAGCAAATGAGGATCTCCAGGCACCCCCAGGAGAAGGACCCCCTGCACCCAAATACACCCCAACCCGGTCTCTCCGGAACGGGCACCACTCACCGGAGGAGCGTTGTTGTTCATAAACACCATCGGGTCCTGCAAAGGGGGAGAAGTTTTGTGAGAGGCATGCAAAAAAGGAAAACAAAAAGGGAAAAAAAGGGATTTTCCTGATTTCTGGGAGACTCATGAAACACAACACAGGAACGCATCTCTGCAGGGTCTGCGAATGTGGGAGGGGAAGGGGCTTCATGCCCGGCACTGGTCCCATCTCCATCCCATCCCATCACCCCTACCCGCTCCCTGCCTGCTCCAGGGGTACCAGAAACCTCAAACTGCTGCTCCAAAAAACGCTGAAGCTTAATTCAAGCAGCTGTGTGCAGTCGCTCGGCATCCGACAGCTCTGGGGGCGAGGGGAGCTGGGCTTTGCTTTATCAGCTGCGTGAGTCGATCGAATAAAAGATTTTCTGTCTCCTTCCAAGCCCGTCTCACCACAAGCTGATGCATTAGTCACACATTAGCTATCTCCAGTCCTTATTTCAAAAGCATTATAAAAGCTCATTAAGAGGCGATTGCAAGTATTTAAAAATTCCCCAAGTTTCAAAATATTCATTTTGAAATGAAGCAGCTCCATGAGGTTTTTAGGGGTGGGGAAAATAAAGGGGTGCAAGAGGTTTGGCTGCTGGAGGAGCCGTTCCTCTAAGGAAAATTGGCTTTTCCAGCCATGAAGAGCAATCTCAACGGCTGCTGTGGCTCTTCCTCATGGAGGTCATGAGGGTGCAAAAGCTGGAAGCCCCCGGCCCGAGGCCGCTCACCAGGGATTGCTCCTCCTGCCGCAGCCACTGGTAGTCCTCCGCCATCTGCTTCTGCTGCTTGTCCAGGACCTGCCGGATCTTGAGCCTCTCCATTTCCCAGAGCTTCTGCGCCTCCTCCCTGCTGTTGGGACGGAGGAAATCTTCCTCCTGGCATGCAGGGCCGGCGGTGACCGGGAGGCTCAGGAGTCAGAGCCCCCTGATTTCGGCACGGGAGCCAGAGCCCCGCTCCGTGCATGCAAAGCCATGCACCAGACCCCAACGGCTGTGAACCCCCAAATGGAATTTGGGGAGCACTTGGGTTTCCAGCAGGGAGGGGAAACCACCGGCTGGCCCCAAATATCCCACAGCTGTATCCCGGCACTTTCCGTGGGCAGCATGCATGGGCCAGCCTGGGGAGCAGCTCATCATGCCTGTGGTGCGGCCGTGCTTGGCATCACAGCTGTCCTGGCACACCGGGCAGAGCACCTCAGGATGTGTCCCAACACCCAGCTCCGGTGGCAATGCCGAGCGTGAGGAGCCAACCAAAGCCCCGAGGAAAGGCAGCCGCCTGTCCCCTCCCTGTTTTTGGGGATGCCGTGCCACCTGCTCATCCACCAACATGCCTTCACCGGGATGTGCATGCAAACGTGCACGATGGGGGGCTGGAGACACCCCAGAGCCCTTCATGGGCTTGATCCCTCCAGCCTGCACACAGCACCCGTGGGGTGACAGGATCTGGCCCTCCCGCAGCTGGGTTGGCAGCAACATTGAGCTCAAAGCAGCGGAGGCAGCAGCACGAAGCGGAGCGCGGTGCAGCGAGCATCCCTCCCACTGAGCCTCCTGCGAGGTCCCCGGCATGCCCAGGATGAGGCCACATGGGACCGGGATGTCCTCTGGATGCCACGGGAGGGGGGAATCCCTCTCTTACCCTCATGCTGTGGCGCTTGAAGACATTGTGGCGGTTGAGCGGCGGGGTGTGCAGGGAGTTGGCCGGAGACTGGTACTCGATGGGGTTGGTGAGCGTAGGCGAGCTGGCACACAGACCCTCGGGCACCTGCGGGCGGGCAGGGGAGGGCGGGCAGCAGGGCGGCGCGGGCACAAAACAAGGCCACGGAGGGGTTAGTGCAGACAGACGGACGGATGGAGCAGACAACGCGGGGGAGAGCGGCTTTTGCACCAGGAGCAGCCTCTGGCCTCATGCCCGTCCGTGCAGCAGGATCGGGACCTTCCTCCCTGCTCGGCTCTTCCTCGCCCTGAGCACGGGTTTGAGACCTCCCACGCTGCTGCCTGGACCCCTGCCCAGCCCCAAAAAAGCACCCAAAATAGTCGCTCTTAAGGGCTTCAGCCTGATGCTGCTGGGACCAGCACCGGTCCTTGCAGAGGGGGTGACCTGTGCTCCCCCAGGACAGCCAAAATCAGCCCAGGTAACACCAGAGAGCAGCAAACCTCCTCTCCTCCCAGCCGTGCACGCAAACCGGCCGGTGCAGAACATGCAAACTTCCTTTCCTTGGGGCAAAAGCCTCTCTGCTAGCTCTGAGGGACGGACAAAACACGGGGAGGGCAGGGCAGGGCATGGCTGAGCCCCGAGTGGTGCGGTGTCCTGCTGGCAAGGCGGCGGGAGGCACTTGGTGGTGGCATGGGGCACCTCGGAGCCCCAGAAGCCACGAGCCCCCACGGGCTTGAGCTCCAGGCAGGGCTTTTCAGCGTTGACCCCTTTGCTCAGGTCCCAGGTCCCATGCTCCGGCCATGCAACCTTACCTGGAACTGCAGCTTGGGAGCCAGGAGGTTGCTCTGGGGTGGTGGCTTGTACCTGGGTCTGCTGGGCTGCGGGGAGCAGAGGAGGGAGAAAGGCACGGTGGGTGCAAGGTCGTGGAGGTCCCGCTTCTGCAGCACCCATCAGTGGGTCGAGGCGGGGAGGAACCCGCCCGCAGGGGCTCTGCTCTCTCCTCACCTTCGGAGGTGGCTCCTGGAAGGACGGCGGCTCCATGATTTTGGGAGGCCGGTGGCGGTTGTTCCTCTCCTGCTCCTTGGCCAGCTCCTTCTCCGTCAGGTAAATGTCACTGCAGGGGGAGATGGAGGGTGACACCCTAAGGAGGGAGCATTGCCACGTCTCCCATTCCCAGAGCATGGGGATGCTGGAGCTGGATGGGCCATGGAAAACACGAGGGGGCAAGGAGGGATGGGAAGAGGGAAGGGAAAGGACTGGGAGGACAGAGCACGGTCCTGGCCAGCCACACCAGCGTCACCATGGCTGGCCCCAGCGAGATGTGGGGTCAGGACTCCCCTGCAAGACCCCTCCCCGGGAAGCCGAGCATTTCCATTTCAGCCCAGGCACCACCACCACCCCGGGGGAAGGTGGGCTCAGATGGCCTCAAATGGTCCTCTGAGTTCAGACTTGGCCAGAAAACTCCAGACCCAAAATCTTGCACGGTTTCATTCTTCTCCTTCACCCACTTGCCCACCCCTCCATCAACCCACGGACCCCCCAGCCCATCATCAGTCCCCCGCCTCCCCGCTCACCTCAAGCTGCAAACCAAGTCCTTGAACTTGGGCCTTTCGCTGGGGTCGTAGTTCCAGCAACGTGTCATGAGGGTGTAGAGGATGGGAGGGCAGAGATCGGGCTTGGGCAGGCGGTCGCCCCTCTCCAACACCCCGATCACGTCCTTGTTCTCCAGCCAGAAGAAGGGCTGCTTGCCGTAGCTCAGGATCTCCCACATGCACACAGCTGTGGGAGCAACATGAGGAACCTCAGCTGATGCTAGAGCTGGGGGACCAGCCCCTCGCCTGGGGTTTTTGGGGACCTGGTGACAGTGCCACTCTTTGCTGCGTGACACCAAGTCACTTGGCTGCTCAGCTTTTCTGGTCCCTGGGTGAAAAATGCAGAGGAAAGAGCTGCCTGCTCTCCCGGGGATGCTGCAAGGAGCCCAGCTCCTGGTTGCTGCTGGCCATAGGGCTGGTAGGGACAGACAGATGGACAGATGAGCGCCAGAAGCCATGGGGATGGGCTGATAGATGGCTATTGGCAGGGGGTACAGTTTAACTCAGCCCCCTGACTGTCCTGAATTCACTGGAGGAGGAAGCACTTAATGATGGTTGAATTGCAAGAAGCTCTGCCCCGGGAGCCCTTTCCCCAAGGTCAAGGCTGGGATAACCCCCCCCCCAGCTCTGGAGCAGGATTTATCCCTGTGCATTAAGATGATGCCACGGGAGGTGGACAACACGCGGGACCCCGCTCTGTCCCACCACGCACCAAACATCCAGACGTCGCTGGCCGTCGTGAAGCGGCGAAAGTTGATGGACTCGGGTGACATCCACTTGATGGGGAGACGGGTGATGGACGCTGGAGGGAGAGACAGGCGGTGGCCGTGCTCACTGCAGGGGGGACGGAGCAGCCCCAGCGCAGGCAGGGCAGGGCAGCCAGGTCTCACCACGGTCTCTGCCCCAGCCCCTTCCCACCACCCCGTCCTGCTGTTGCAGGGAGCCCCGCTGCGTGCTGGCTCTACCATCCGGAGAAATCCCTGCTCCAACCTGACAGGGTCGGAGCGAGCCCCAACCCCATCACGCAGCTCTTACCTTTATAGTACTCCTCGTCCTCGATGTACCTGGAGAGCCCAAAGTCTCCCAGCTTCACGCACTCTGGGGAGGCCACCAGGACGTTCCTCACGGCAATATCCCTGCAAGGAGAGAGACCCTTGGCTGGGGAGAAGGGATGGAGAAGGGGAGCTCACACCCGGACAACCAGCTCACCCAGCTGCAAAAGGGGTCTGCAGCAAAGGATGCTGCCAGCCTCTGCCTCTGCCCGCTCCTGCTCCCCGCCTGCCTGGCCCCCCACGGTCCCTGCCGTCCCCTGCCTCTCCTGGCATCCCACCCGCCTCCTTTTCCCTCCTGCCCTACCTGTGCACGCAGTTGATGGCCTCCAGGTAAGCCAGGGCTTTGCTGATCTGCAGCGCGTAGAGGATGAGCGTGGGCACGGCGAGGCAGTGCTTGTTCTGCTCCAGGTATTGCCCCAGCTGCAACGGGACGAGCAAGGGGGGCTCAGGGACCGAGCAGGGGCAGGAGGGGTGGCAGGGGAACGGGATGGGCTCCAGCGGTGGGACCCCGCTCACCTCTCCGTAGGGACAGAGCTCCATGATGATCCAGGTGGGCTCCTCTTCTGCGATGCCGATGAGCTTCACAATATGGGGGTGGTCCAGCTTCTTCATCAGCACTGGGGGGGGACCCCGTCAGACACCCTGCAATGGGGGGCCCCCCCTCCAGGAGCCCAAACCCCTGTCCTGGGGTGCAGGGGCAGGTCTCTGCCAGGAAGCCAGAGACAGAGCAGGAGGAATTGCCAGGAATAGCCTAGTACATCCCCAAAGGGGTTGGGGCTCCTGGTTCCCAGATCCCCAGGGCTCTCCATCCAGGTGGTGCCCGTCTGCTCTCACGCAAGGATTCAGCAGCTTTTCTTCTCCATCCCTCCCATAAACCAGGTATTTTGGAGAACAGACACACCACAGGGGCACAGGAGTCCTCCCTCCTCCTGCTCTGTCCCGCGTTGCAATGGCAATTTGTCCCCAAGCAGGGACCAGCAGATGCCAGGGCAGGGTTCCACCATCCTATCTCTAACACCCCACCATTGCAACACCACAAACACCGCTGGGCCCCCCACATCTGCCCTCTGCCCACCTAAGCGAGCCTGGGGTGGGGCTAAGCAGGCTCTGTCCCCCCCACAGAGGGCAGAAGGACCCCCCCGGTGTACCTGCTTCGCTCAGGAACTTGTCCTTGTTCTCCGGGCTGCAGTCCTTCTTGCAGGTCTTCACAGCCACATTGACCCGCTCCCCTTTCTGCAAGGAGAAGAAGAAGTGGGGGCTGCTTTGCCCCACTCCATGGAGGAGGCAGGCAGGGCAGGGAGAGGGCAGGACGCTCACCGGGGTGGTGTAGATCCCCTCAAAGACCTCTCCGAAAAAGCCTTCTCCGAGGATCCTGCCCAATGTGACGTCCTCCCGGGAGATCCCGTAGTGCTGGGCTTCATGGACAGCAGAGCAGGGCAGAGGCGGCAGCGTCAGTGGGCGGGAAGCCGCCTGTACCCCTGCCTGCTCCGTGGGCAGAGCCCCCATGTTAAGCGGGAGATGTTGGCGATCCCTCTCCATCACCCCCTTTGCCAAGGACCCACGCACGGGTCCTGCCCCACGGCACGTGGGGTGATCCCAGCTCCTTCAGCCCCTTTGGGGAGCAAGGTGCAGGCAAAATCTGGTTCCCAGCTTTTCGGGGATAGGGTGGGAAATTGGGGTGGGCAGGAGGAGGTGGGAGAGCTTGGTTGGGGTGCTGGGAGATGGCCAAGAGGGCAGCCAGGGGGGTGGCACCTACCTCCAGACCTCGGTCTTGAAGACTCATCAGGGATTTCAGCATAAATATCGGAGTCTAGGGCAAGAAGGAGGTTGCAGGCAGGGATTCAGGCAGTTCACCAGGCAGCGGGGTTTCTTGCAGCATCCCCATGGGGTCCGGCCACCTCCCCCGGGATGCTCAGCTGCATCTCGACCCCCAGGCAAAGGGCTGGGGGTGTCCAGCTCCACCAAAACCCCAAATCTCCATGCACCGGTGTCCCACAGCCCTGCCTGCATCCCCCGGCTTGGTGGGAAGGGAGGAGAAGAGCCAAAAAACTCACCCACGCTCACGCTGTCCGACAGCACGGACTGCCTCTCCTCCAGGTGCCTGGGGGGTGGGAGGAGGTGGGGGTTTCTTGTCCTGCTCTGTGGAGAGGACAGCGGACAGTCATTTATCTCCCCGATGGGCCCCCACAGCGTCTCGACCACACGTGCAGTGAGTTCGGTGGGTCTCAGCTGGGGTCACTCCAAAGCCATGGGTGATGCTGTGGCCACAGAGAGAGCGGAGAAGGGGGTCGGTGCCCCCCAGGGCGCTCACCTCTCCTGGGGAAGACGATGAGGGAGGTTTCCAAGTCCCCTTGCAGCCGGCAGTAGCCATCGATGAGGTCGGCCATGTTCTCCGCCTCGGCCAGAGAAGCTGTCTTGATAGCCAGGGACTGGGGGAGACGGCAGGGACGGCTGAGCCCAGAGCTGGGGCAGGGGGATGCTGGGATGGCGGCTCCCCCGCCTCTCTCCACCCTGGGGTAGCTGGGTGACCACCTCCCCGCTCTGCAGTGGATCCCAGTCTGTCCCAGCACCCGGGGCAGCTTGGAGGTGCCCTGCTTTGGGGACAGTCTCCCCTCGGCCGGGGCTGGGGGCAGGAGCGCTCTCAGTGAAAATGGAGCCATCCACCAAGTCCTGCCTAACCCCCAGGGATGCGATGCCACTCCAGGGCACCCGGGGGTCCCTCCATCCCACCCACACCCCCCAGCACCCGGGGCATCCCCCCCAGTGCCTCCTCACCTGGGGGGTGCCGCTGAGCCCCAGCTGCAGCACAGCCCGGCCATCCTCCACGCTGGAGCACTTGATGGACTTGATGTGCTTGAATTCGGCCAAGCACGTGGGCTGGGGAGAGAGGCAGAGCCCCGGCATCGACTTTCATCACCGATTTAAGGGCAGCCATCCCCCACTCCCCATCCAGCACCCAACACCTCCCCATACCTTGGCCTCCTTGCTCGTCATCTGCCGGATGCCCTTGGGTCCGATGACCAGGTCCACCGTGATGTTCCACCCTTGCTGGGGGGCGGGGGCAGCAGAAGGAGGACGCAAATTTGGGGGGAGCGTGTACCCCCAGAGCCAAGTCCGTCCCGTCCCCCCCCCCCCCCCCCCCCCCGCCTCAACCTGCTGCAATGGGTGAAACACCTTTGGGAAAAAAAACCTCCCTTCCCAGAGGGATTTGGAGAGAGGATGGTTTGGAGAGGGGATGGTGGATGGTGCAAGGCCAGGAGCCCGGTGTGGGTGGTTTTGCTCCTCCTGAACTCCAAAGGGGTCCCCAGCGCTCCTGGTTTGCCGCCTTCTCACCCCAAAGGGGTTCAGCAAACTTCAGGCACTGGCTTGCACCCACCGGGCTTGGACGCCTGGGGGTGGAAGGTCCCCAGAGCCCCCCGCTGCACCCCCAGCCCCTCTCAGCAATCAGCATCCTCCCAAAAGGCCCCCGGGGCCTCCCTCACTGTGGGGAGGGGAGAGATGCTCAGCTCCCCCTCCAGGGAGGTGATGCAGGGGGCTGCAGGATCAGCAATCCCCTCCCCAGGGGATTTGGGGTTTGCGCCTCCCTTGGGGGACAGCGAGCGATTCCCAAGCCTTGGAAACTCCCCGTGGGGTCTGCCCTTAGCCCAGCGTGGCCGAGCTCCTCTCCGAGCCCACAGACTGTGGCAGGGAGCAGCCCACAGCAGGGTGGCTTTGTCCCCGCTGCCACCTGCGAGCATCCCGGTCCGCGCTGCCCAACTGGTGCCAGGGGACGCTTCGGGTGGCAGCTCGGATGACTACGGTCCCATCTTTAGCAAGACTTTGCTGGGTTTAAGGCCATGGGAGATGCCATGCTGGAGGTTGTCCTCATCCTGCAGCGGCCCCCCTGCACGGTGCCTGGCACGGGGGGCACAGCCAATGCGCCTGGCCCCAAAGCACCCATCCCATCCCATCCCATCCCATCCCATCCCATCCCATCCCATCCCATCCCATCCCATCCGGTGGACTCACGATGAGCTCGCAGCGGTAGGTCTCCTGGTCGATGTTGGCGAAGGTGGCGAGGGTGTGGAAGAACTTGAGGATGCACTCCTCCTCCCGCAGCAGCGCGTACTGCTGGAAGGTCTGCTGGATCATCTTCCGAAACTGCTTGGGCTGTGGGGACAGTGGCCGCTAGCCACGCCGGCCACGTGCCAGGCACACAGCGGGGATGTGGGGTGCAGAGGGTGTGAGCTGCACACAGACATGTGCACGCACACGGACACGTGCACGCACACGGACACACGGATGCATGCACTCACCTGCAAATATGAATATGCACCCGCACATATGCATGTGCATCTACGTGCACACCCACGTGTGTCCACATGTGTGTGCATGCCAGCATGCCTCCGCGTGTGTGTGCTCATTCACGTGTACTCGAGGGCAGGCAGATGTGCATGCACATGTGTGCAAACCAATGCATGCACACGTGGTGCACATGTGTGTGCATGCAGATGCATCATCACGTGTGAGCAGATGCACTTGCATGCATACATACACATGCATACGTATGCACATGCATGCGATACACCTTCACGTGTGTGAGCAGACACGCCTATACATGCAAATCCACCTGTGCACACTGATATACACAGGAGCACACGTGGCGCTGCATGTGAATGCACACACAGAGGCAGCTACACCTTCACGAGTGTGTGCAAAGCTCCACGAGTGTGCGCAGATGTGCGCACGTGCATGTGCAAACCCACGCGTGCCCGCTGATGCGCACGCTTGGCCCCATATGTGCATGTGTACACACGCACGGGTGTGTGCATGCAGACACATCTTCATGTGTGTGAGCACAACGGCACACGTGCACAAGTGTGGGCCGATGCGTGCACGCGTGCATATCTACGTGTGCGCTTCGGTGCGCGCACGATAGCACCCCCAGCCACGGCTGTGCAAGCTTACGCAGCTTGCGCCCGCACACCCAGCCCTGCCTGCCCGCACCCACTCACCTTCAGGTTCTCCTGCATCTGGCTGGGGAAGAAGAGGTCCAGACCCACCTCCTTCCTGCAGAGCAGAGACCCCCGTGCATTTTAACACCCCGCGGGGAGCTGCAGACGGGCGGAGGTGGGGGGGAGGCACCCAAGTGGGTGCTGAGGGGCAAGGGGGTGCTCTTGGGGGAGAAGGTGCCCACCCAGCGCAGTGAAAGGTTCCCATCTCCCCCCGCTCCTTGCACCCTCCCCATCAGCGGGGCTGATGGCTGCAGGAGGATGAGGAGCTGCAGGAGGATGAGGAGCTGCGGGAGGATGAGGAGCTGTGGGAGGAGGATGAGGAGCTATGGGAGGAGAGGAGCTATGGGAGGAGGATGAGGAGCTGTGGGAGGAGGATGAGGAGCTATGGGAGGATGAGGAGCTATGGGAGGATGAGGAGCTGCGGGAGGAGGATGAGGAGCTGCGGGAGGATGAGGAAGGCCATCTGCAGATCCCCAGACCCTCGGGCCCGGCTGGACGGCGTGGGGGGTTTAGGGTAAGGGGTTTTCTGCCCAGCGGGACAGGCTGTGCCTACTCACTCCAGGAACTCGAAGTTGGACTTCTTGTCCAGCGCGTTGTGAGGCATGTCCTTATAAAACCTCCTGCGGGAAGGGAAGGACATCAGACAGCCGCCCCGCGCTCGCATCCCCCTGCCGCGTCCCCCCCCCACGGCACAGAAGGAGCTGGAAACTCCCTTCCCTGGTGGAAAACCCTCCCTGGCCCCGGCCCCGGCCCCACTTCCCCGTCCTCCCCAGCCCTCCCGCTGCGGCAGACGGGCCAGGACAGGCGGAGGCACGTACCTGAGCTCCAGGCAGCCCAGCTGCAGGGCCATGCCTTCGCTCACCTTGCTGGCGTAATTCTGCATGTACTCGCTCCGGAGCTGCCGAGGAGACGCGGGGGTCAGGAGACAGAGGGGATGCTCGCAGGGCATGCTCGCGAGGGATGCTTGCAGGCGATTCTTACAGAGTGTGTTTGCAGGGGATGCTGGCAGGGGATGCAGGCAAGGGATGCAGGCAGGTGCATGCAGGGGATGCTGGCAGGGGATGCAGGCAGGGGATGCTGGCAGGGGATGCTGGCAGGGGATGCAGGCAGGGGATGCTGGCAGGGGATGCTGGCAGGGTCCACACCCTCCCACATCCCGCGCTGGGACGCAGCCGGGGCAGGAGTGCGGTGAAGGGGCTGGGACTGGCCGTCCCCGATGGAGATGCACAGGTCCAGCAGCGGGATGGGACCGTCAGCAGCCCAGGGGGAAGGTAAATGGGCTACAAGGACTTGGGGCTCTTGGGAATCGTCATTTCGGGGCTGGGGCGGAGGAAGCACCCTCCTGGAGCTGGGGAGTGGGTCAGGGTAGGTGGAGAGCAGACCTGGCTGGGGCTAGGAGACCCCCGGGGCCACCTCTGACCTGCTGGTAGAAGTAGAGCAAGGTGGTCCTGTCCTCTTTGAAACACTCCATGAAATCCTCCGGCAGATAGCGGATTTGGAGATCGTACCTGCCAACAGGAGAGCCCCGATGAGGACCACGCCGGAGGAGCTTTCCCTCTAATGGGGCTCGGTGGTTCCCATGCCCCTGCCCCAGGTGGGTTTGGGGACGTGGAGAGGGACACCACCACCATGAGGTCCTACCTCCATTCGGCTTCCAGGTGCAGGCACTCGTACTTCTCCTGCACTTCGCCCACCGTCAGGTCCGGGTGCAGCCAGTGGATCTCATCCGACTTCACGTGCTTCAGGCGGAGCCCGTAGCACTCGGCCAGCTTGATGTCGGGCCCGATGCGGCCGCTCACCAGGATGGACCTGATCACCTCCTGGGGTGGAAAGGAGCAGGGCTGTGACCCGAGCATCCCCAGCCAGGCTCCAGATGAGCTTTAGGTAGCGGGAAAATGAGGAGGAAACACAGCACGACCGCAACACAAATGTCTCTGGAGCAAAAACGCAGCTCCGGGAACAGCCACCAGCCCCAGTGGTCTCCATGCGAAGCCTACAAAGATGCCTCCCGCTTGCTCTGCAACAACCCACAGCCTGAACATGTCTCATCCAACTGCCCAGAGGTGTTTTGGTCAGGGATAAAAGCCCAGCTGGGTCATTTCCACCCTTCCTTATGCCTCAGCTGAGCTACACCCCACGCCCAGCATCGGCTGCAAGCAGGTGGCAAAGCAGATATCGTTGTTGCCAGTCAGCTTGCAGGGAGTCCCCAGGACCCTGCCAGGCCTCTGCTCTCACTCTGGTAGCCGAAAAGCCAACTAAAAGCTGATGGTTATTAGCAAAACCAGTGGCCAAGCTGTCCCCGAGGAGTGACCGCCTCCGGCTTGCTCCGCTCCTGGTCCTGCTGGCTGCGCTCCCACCCCTGCGTTGGGGACAGCCGGGCTGTGGCCATTTCAGGCTTCGCTTGCATTTCCCTTCCCCAGGCATCTCCTTCCCAGCCTGGGAGGGCTTCTCCTTCCCTCCCCATCTCCTTCTCCTGCTCCAACCGCTCCTCTGAAACCTTTTGCTATGCCCACGACCTCCTCCTGGAGATGGAAGGAGGGGACAGCCCTGTCTCCCTCCATGTCCCACCAGTTGAGGAACAACCCCCAGTTCAGCTGTACTTTGATCACCTCCCTGCAGCTTCATTCCCAAGGATTTGCCCCAGGAGAAGGCAGAGCATCACCCATTGCACCCAGGGCACGTCTCTCTCATGGTGGACACCAACCCTGCAGCACCCAAGCGCAGAGCCGGTGGGTCCTCGGCACCCACACGTCTTCCCCCAGCTGGGAAGCCACAAGACTCCAGGTAGGAAGGGTGAGGAGCATGTTTCCAGCCCAAAGCCACCATGTCCATGGTGGAAAGGCACCAGTGGCACCTTCACTGTCCTCCCAGCCCCACGTCCCCACAAGCAAAGGGCAGAAGTCGGGTGCAGAAGTGGGAGGAAGGACTTGGGTGCCAGCTTGCAGTACGGACAGGAGAAGAAGAGGTGCCGCTGGCCTCGGAGCTGGGTGCACCCCCGGGGTGTCTCGGGGCGATGGCAGCGTCACCTGAGCAGGCAGCGACACCGCAACGTGGCCATCGGGAAACGTCAAGGGCCTGGGGCTGTGAAGGTCACTGTCCCCTCACCACCGGGGACCCGTGTCCGTGCAGGGCAGTGGGGATGGAGGAAAGGTGGGGACCCAGCTCCGGCCGGTCCCCAGCCTCCTCCCATCAGCGTGGGCTGAGCCCCAGCCCCGCAGGGCATCTTCATGTCCCAAACCCCCTTGTCCCCTGGCCTCCTCCCATTGCTCCCTGCACTGCTGTGCCCGAGGATGTCTTCTCCAGGGCGAGAGGAACCGTGGCCTGGAAACTCCTCTTTGCTGCCCACGAAGGAGACCAGCAGCGACTTGCCGGGGCCGATCCTCACTGCAAGGCCCTCGCCCTTTGCAAACTCCCCTCGGCCACCAGAGATGGACAAATTTTCTCTCTGTTCTCCAGGTTTTGGTGCTTCTCAGCCACGGGGCTTCGGGGGGCTACCATGCCATGGGAAAGGGTGTCTGGACAAAACAGCCCCCCGTCCCCTGCCCTGTCCACCCCCCTGCCCACCTACCCGGATCTCCGTTGTCACGGGGCACTTCACCAGCTTGAAGTTCTTGCCCATATTGAAGCTGTTGCTGTAGAAGCAGACCTTGAGGATGCGCATCTCCTCCTTGTCCATCTCCAACGTCCCCATGCCCAGGGTGGCCTCCAGCGTCCCGGCCAGGCTACGGGAGGAGCTGCTCCGCGGGCGGCCCAGCGCCTCGGGGATGGCCGACATCCTCACCACGCCCGGGGTGCTAGGAGCTGAGCATCCCTTCCCTGCAGGAGAGACAGCGCGCTGGGGACACTGGGGACACTGGGGAGGATACCCCTGCGGGGTAGGGGGAGAGGGTCAGGGAGATGGGGATGGGAGAGGCAGGGGTGGGATGGGGACAGCGGGGACACCCCGGGGGAGTGGGGGGGAACGAAAGGAGATGGAGGTGGATGGCGACAGCGTCCTTGTCACCTCCAGAGCCATGCCTCTGTGTCCCCAGCACCTCCGGAGCAGCGCCTATGTGTCCCCGTCACCTCCAGAGCAACACCTCCGTGTCCTTGTCACCTCCAGAGCAACACCTCTGTGTCCCCAGCACCTCCAGACAACACATCCATGTCCCCATGTCCCCCAGAGCAATTTCTGTGTCCCCATCACCTCCAGAACAACACTTCCGCATCCTTGTCACCTCCAGAGCAACACCTCCGTGTCCTTGTCACCTCTGGAGCAACACCTCTGTGTCCCCATCACCTCCACAGCAATTTCTCTGTGCCCCCAGCACCTCCATAACAATAGCTGCGTGTACCCATGTCCCCATGTCCCTCCAGAGCAACACCTCCGTGTCCCCGTCACCTCCAGAGCCATCCCTCTGTGTCCCCAGCACCTCCAGAGCAACACCTCCGTGTCCTTGTCACCTCTGGAGCAACACCTCTGTGTCCCCATCACCTCCAGCGCAACACCTCTGTGTCCCCGTCACCTCCAGAGCAACGCTTCTGTGTCTTTGTCACCTCCAGAGCAACACCTCCATGTCCTTGTCACCTCTGGAGCAATCCCTCTGTGTCCCCAGCACCTCCAGAGCAACACCTCCGTGTCCTTGTCACCTCTGGAGCAACACCTCTGTGTCCCCATCACCTCCAGAGCAACACTTCTGTGTCTTTGTCACCTCCAGAGCAACACCTCTGTGTCCCCGTCACCTCCAGCGCAACACCTCCGCGTCCCCAGCACTCACCACTCTCTCCCCCCATGAACGCCGGGTGCAGGCTTTGGGCTGCAGCTTCCCAGTGCGGGTACCTGCAGCTGCAGCTGCGGTTCCACAACGTGACCTCCCCACCGAGCTGAATTTAGCAGACAGCTTTGTGAAAAACCAATAAAAAGCAAAATGGGGCGAGCAAGCCGGCTTCCTTCTCACCCAGAAGGGCGATACTGATTTATATCGATTTGCTCTTTTATTTTTAGAGGAGATAAAACCCAGAAGCCTGCTCAAAAAAATGTCATTTGAGCCAGAAGGGAAGTGGCTGGAGTTGTCCCTTTGCTGAGAAAAGCAGTTTAAGGGGGGTATGTGGGACTTGGATGATCTGAATGGATCCAAAATTTTCCTTTTCACGTGGCTTTTGGGTTGCAAGCTGGCACAGAAGAGGGTTTGCTCTGGGTTGCTTTCTCCACCTCTCTGGATATGCAGCCAGGCTGAGGCCGGGCAAACTCAGCTCACATAACCCCCTAAGAGCAAAGGTGTTTGCCTCAGCCTGGCCACCGGCTTCCCAGGGAAGCACGGAGCTTTGCACGGAGCCTGAGCGAGCAAAAAAACAGCCAGCACAGCCCGATGCACGGGGCAAATTCAGGTTTGCAAAGAGCTGCTCCGAACCGCCATTTATTTTTGGCATGAAATAAAAAAAAAAAAAATTTAAAAAATGTGGAAGTTCACCCATTAGGTTGCTTCTGCGTTGGAGCTCGGGCCTGGAGTTACTGATTAAACAGCCGAGAAGCTGTTTGCCAACCGGAGCGGTGCAGGGTCTGCCCACGTCGCTCCGGGTCTGCACCTTGGAAAGGTCCCGGCGCGGCGCCGGGGGCCCTGGCAGGGCTGAAGGGGTGGGTAGGACCCCCTATGTCCCATCCGTCCCCATGGGGCTGAGGGTGCTGCCCTCCCCATGGGCTCGTAAAGCCGCCACAGCCTCTAATCCGGCAGCGAGCGGGATGGGAACATCCCTCACCTCGCCCAGGGCGATGCACCTGCGGCCCGCAGCCGGCGGCCTTGGCGCTGGAGCGGATGGCGAGCGCTCGCCCAGAGCCCCGGCGGCACCAACGTGGGATGGGGACGGCGAGGACGGGCCGCTGCCACCCTCGCAGGGCTGCAGGGAGTCTCTGCCCAAACTGCAGGTCCAGGCTGCGTCCATCCCCCCATCACCGGCTTCTGCAAAACCAACCGCCGACGGGGGAGATGGCAAGAAAAACATGCAGCAAGGAGCTGCCAGCAGCAACCCTTCCCAAGGCCGGCTGCCGAGGTTTTCTCTCCCCGTTCCTCCATTTCACCTTCCTCGCTGGGATTTGCACCATCATTTGCACAGCGCTTCGAGGCGGCTTCGCTGTAATTGCAGCCCCGCGGAGCTTGCACGCTAGCGGGACACCGTGTGCTGCCTCCCGCGAGCTTCGTCTTTTTAAAGCAACTCTCCTGAGTCACTGGCCTAAAAATACGCGCGGCGTAGCCTGGCACTTTCAGGTCCGTACAAAGGGTTTTGCTGGCAGCGGTGCAATGCGTGGATGGCCCAGACTTTGTTTTCCAGGTTTCTCCAAGGGAACAGGGAAAGGGGCTTCGCATCCCCGTGGCCGTGACGGAGCATTGCTACGACGGCGACGGGCTGCTGGGCTGCAAACCTTGGCCCTGAGCAAGGCAGCAGTGCTGAGCTGGGCACCCTCGCCTCCGGCACGGGCCGGCAGCGAGCCCAGCCAGGCTGACGGGCACCGTGCATGTGAGCATTTGCACATCGGGTTTTAGGGTTTTTTTTTCTTTCCTTCGCAACAATGTCTTGGGCTGCAGAGGGAGGATCTTGCAGCAACCCACATCCTTTGCAGATCACCCCTGTGGCCAGCCGGCTCTCTTGCAGGTAATGCTCCTTTTAGCCAAGTCCCCTTCTCATGTGGACTGCAAGGGCTGACCGAAGCGGGGACAACCGAGGCATCCCTCCTTGCCCTGTCCCATCTCCAGCCATGCCAGGGAAGCCGAGGCCATCCCTGCAAGCGATATCGGGGATGCTACAGGGCCGAGCACCACCAGGCCACAGACCGCATCCAGGCTGCAGCTGCCCAGCACCACGCTGTGCGGGACAGATGAGTGCTTCCTGCTCAGCCGGGCTCAAAGAGCAACAGGGTGAAGCAAAACCAGCAATCCCCTGTCCCAGCTCAGGCGCAGAAATGCTCCGCTTCGGGCTTTGCTACAGCTCTGGCTGCTCTGCAGAAGAGGCCGGTACTCAAAGAGCTTCTCCTCCAAGAAATATCCACAATAAAGATCTCCGCTAAATAGCTAAAAAGCAAATCCCGTGGCCTCTGGCTTTCAGGGGGGGGTTGGGGTGGGGACGATGGCCCAAGCCAGCCCCTGGGGACAGGGAGCCCAGCTCTCCCTTGAGAGGGTCAATTGCTGAGCATGCGCGCCAGGAATGTTTCACTTTGGCTCTTCTTCTTTTTCTTCAATTTCTCTTCATTTTCTATTTTCTTCCTCCAGTCCCATTCCCACGACATATCCCCTCACGCTCTTGATGAGCCCACGGGGCCAGGACCGGGGCTGGATGTGTCCCCTCTGTGTCCCTACCCTAAGGAGCGATGCTGCTGGGGAGCGGGCATCCCGCTGGCCCTGAGCAGCACCTCCAGCCGTTGCGGCCAGGGATGGACAGGCCTGGAGGCCGCCAGCGTGAACAAGGACGCATCCCGCATTTCCCAGTCCTCTCAAGCCCAGCACGGATACGAGGGACGGCTCCGTCCCTCCAGCCAAGCACCCCGCAGCCTCCCAGCCCCTCCGTGCCCCGGGCTCACGCTCTGCCCTTGCACATCCCTGCCTTGCCTGCGCCCAGGATGCCCATCCAAAATAAATCTAGCAAGGGCAGTGAAGGCAGTGCCTGCACCCTGCCGGGGGGGCACATCCCAGGGCATCCCCAGGGCCATTTGGCTGGAGGATGGAGAAGGGGCCCTGACCACGGCCAGAGCCCCCCGTACCTCCACTCCCTGCCCGCTCAGCTCCCCTCCGCCATGGGGATGTGTCCCTCGGGAGCCCGGCTCTGTCCCCAGTGGGGACAGCCACGCCAGGCGCGTGACGCAGCCCCAGCTGGGCACAAAACGAAACCGAGAGCTTGCACCGCTGCCACCGTCACTAACATCCCCTTGCTGCAGCCGTCGCGTTCCCCCCGTCAGCCCCCATTGCCTTCTCCTGTGGGTGACACCCCGAAAGGTCCCCGCGGTGGCTCCGAGCCACCGTCCCACACCCCGGCACAGCCCCGCACCGGGAAGTTTTACCGGTTGCTCCAACACCCTCGGAAAAGTTCGGTGCCCGGGGTGCCGCTTCCCCCAGCCCTGCCCCAAACCCCGGGCACACGCTGAAACCCCACCCAGCCCCTTCTCCGACTCGGCGTGATGAGTTTGCACGTGCTCAGCCCTTCGCCCACCTCCTCGGGGCGAGGGTCTTGGTCCCACCATCGCACCCCTCTGGGGGCACCCAGGCACCCAGGGAAGGAGGGAGAGGAGGCAGGCCGTCCCCTCCGCCCCCACGCCGAGCCAGCGCTGACAGAGCCAGCACTTCCTGCTGTGGCTGACAAGGGTGCGTAGAGGCATTTGCATAGCACCCAGGGCCCACGCGCAGGCACGCTCACGCATGGGCCGCGAGAGGCTGCTTGAGCCCGTCAGACAGATGGGGAAACTGAGGCACAGCTCACCCAGCCCAGGAGACCGGTTTAGGGGGTCCCAGCGCAGGGCGGCGGATGCAGGCAGCAGGCAGAGCAGGCAGCTCGTATCCCCCTCCTCTGCTCAGGTTCTGCTGAGCGATGCCACGACCCCAAAGTGCCTGTGCTGGGGGGAATCCGAACCGAGGACCCTGCAAGAAGCAGGGGACAGGGACAACGGTGACCTGGGACTTACCCCGGCCACCCAGGAGGGTCTCCGGTTGCCAGACCGGCCCGCGGGCTCCATCATCCCTCACACCAGGACCCAGTGCATCCCTCCCCAAACCATCCTGCCCCTTCTCTCAGCAACCGCCATGTTGGATCCTG